CAAGAAGCTTCCAGTGTGAAGCCTTGAAACATCATCTGGTCTGAGGATCTTAGTCTATTACCTAGTGGAGTTTCTGGAGGATCAGGAGCCTAATGCTGGCTGACTCAAAGAAACATAAAGAAGATACCACACTGCAAAAGACTCAGGGAATATATATGTATATATATATAATATACAGCTTTTAAAAGCTCCCATAAAGCATTTATTTGCTTCGCTAAAGGGAAACTTTTTTTTTTTTTTTTAAAAAAGGATCTCCACTTACTGGTTTGGAGCTGGCAGTGAATGACCACTTTATCTGTGCTACTCTCCAAGTAAAAGAGAGAAAAGGGGAGTAAAAATACATCAAAATTGCCCTAAAATGAACAGCTCCAAGAAAAAAAAAAAAAGAGTAATTTGTATTCTAGGCCAAATCAATCCATATGCTTTCCATCAAGAATACTAATTGTGATAGCTTTCCCAAGCTGGAAGCTACCCACCAGAGACAAGAACGATGCTACAAACTTACTATCAAGAGTATGTACAGAAATGAAACCTCAGATTTCAGACCTTCACTGTTGGTCTGCTTCAGTCTCATACGGGTAATATGTTCCAGACAAAGGAATCACAAACTTTGTCTTTTTCTTTTTTGGGGGAGGCAGATATGAGAGAAGCAGAGGGGGAGGTGACATTTATTAGTCCTGAGTGCTGGGTTGAGTATTATCATTTGACTTGACAAATTCTTGCACTCTGCTGGACTGCCTTAAGTACTTAAATACCTTAAATGAGCCTGCAAATGCCCTTGTTCTAGACCTTTTCCCAACTCTAAATTATTTTTCCATTATGAATAACTTGTCTTCGTCTGCTGCTGATATTTATTTACAGCTATCTTAGTCAAACTCATCAAGTTTCTAGCATAATCTCTAACAGCAGGATGTACACAACTCAAGCAAATTTCCTTTACAAGCCTGAAATATAGTTTCTAGCTGACACAATCCATTTTTCTCCTTAGGCAAACCACTGCAGGCCTTAAAAATATTACTTAACACCTTCTCTATTGGCTTCTAGCATTAAAATTAAAAATAAAAATACTGCATTGTAAGACCATTATATTTAACAACTGTGAAATATTTAGAGGCACAATAAAATTACTTATTTTTGTTTTGTTTCACACTTCTTTCCACAAAGGCCTAATTCAGAAAAATGCAAAGCATAAATCTATAGGTATGAAAGCAGAAACTATACCGTTCTGTATTCTTAGTTTTCTTCTAATTCTTTTGCTGAAAAGATGATTAAACATGTAGAAGCAAAGGATTCCATACTGGTAAGGTGGGTGGAAAGGGAATTGCTAAAACCACTGTTTTGGTACCATTGTTTATGCCCTATCTCCTCATTTTCAGCAATATTGAGGAAAAAAATTGAAAGACAACATACAGATAAACACTGTGCAGGTAAACACTACAAACATGGATGCCAAAAGTTAATCCTACAAATCATTTGCAGAAAACTGGCAAGATTTAAACAAGATGAGCAGAGGAATAAAAATATCAAACAGAAGCAGCTCTACACACCCCAGGTAGAGTAATTGCCCCAATTTGTTCAAATTTCCTTCTCAATGAGTAGATTCAAATATTCTTTTCCAAAACAGTGTCATCACCAGGATCAAGTGAAACCCTTGGGGGAGACACTTTTCTCCACTTCCACAAACCATGTGTCTTTCCAGGTTTGTTCTCTAGCAGTTTTGCTCTCGTCACTGTGACCTGTGACCAGGAAGTACAGAGAATGAGCTCGCTCATTTTTTTTCTCAAACATACACAGCAGTCCTTACAAAAGTATAATGAAGACAATAGTTTTAAAAGATCATTACATGTCATCAAACCATGACACTATATATGGCTGAAATGACTGTTTCATGTGCTTGGTCAAAACATATCTTTATTCTGTGTGAGAAAACTGCCCTTTAAACTAAATGCCAGAAAGAAGTACTACTGCTTGGAAGCTCAACCTTTACCTATGTAAACATACTTAAAAGATAATAGAAATCATTTTCACAAAAGTTCGTGCATATGTGTTATCCCTGATAGTAGATGCTTTATTAAAATTCTGCACAATGTCCATTAAACAAGACAAAAACAAACAAATATAAACAAGTAAACAAAAAAACACCCAGAACAGGATAAAGGGGCTAAACTAAGAGCACTGAAGATTGTTTATTTTTATTACTTCAAAAGTTTAAATAGTACAAAGCAAGCTTGAGTTATGCTAAAATGACACCTTACATCACCTGCTGTGGATAATCAGATGTTTCCTATTCCATAGTTCTGTGTAACTCAGAAAGTAAATAACAGTGTGATAGAGGAGGCCAATAAGGGTATCAGGTACTTGAGGGGCTATTTCTGGAATGGGATCTACAGCTCTGGGTGAGCCCCTTTAGCACAGTGTAAGGAGAGGCGGGCATCTCAAAGAAATAAAAAAAATCCATAACATGGAGCAGAGACACACCTAAAAGTTCAAAATGATGGGTTATCTTAAAGAAAACACTGACCCAGCTTCAAACCTGTCTGTCAAACCTGCTTGCTTGTTTTCCACCAAAGCCTGTAAGCTTTGCCTCAAGAGTGGTGCCTACAACTTTCCTCTCAAGAAACTAAGATTTCATCCTTTCCTCCCTGTGTGTGGAGGAGGTGAGCCCGACCAGGTGAATTTTGAGTGAGGAAGAAGGCAGGGTAGGGCTCTGCCCACTGCTGCGGACAATCCTGGACACAGCGGCTGCTCACGGAGCAGATTCATGGCATGATCCACCGCTGCCCTGGTCCTGCCGGCACCAGGATCACTCTGTCACGCTTAAGAGGTCAGAAAGATGCCCAGGAGGTGACGCCTTTGTTCCCACTCCCTTCATGTCCCTGTAGGGTCAAATGCAGGTTTTGGGACAAAGTCCTCTCACCAAGCTCAGGTGTGCTGTGGTGCGACACCCTGCACTGCTGGTGATGAATGTGTCACTTATAGCTTCCACAGAGAGGGGAAACACAGCTTTCTACTCACTGTTCCCAGGGTGATGTATACGTTTTATATATACGAGAGTTGTATTTAATGATTGACAAATGAAAAAAACCATACAATTCTCAGAGCACGATGTAACCCCAAGGCTATATCTTTTCAGATGAGTACCTTAACTACAATTAATTAAACCTCCTGGGGAAAGAGGGAATGCTTAACTTCTGGATTCTGGTGAAACTTAAGCTTGAAACAAGCATCATGCTACTGGTTCATCACGACTGCATTGGTGCCAGTCTTCAGAAACTTTAAAAGCAAAAAAGAACCACCAGAATTAAAAGGAGCAGGGGGAATTGGCAGCAGCTGAATTTATGTTTTCAGTATTTCAGTTTCGAATTTTGGCAACTGTGTTTCACACAATCTACTTTCACGATTCAGTGATGAAAGTGTAAATTCCAGAGCATCTGTATACTGGGCAATCCTAAAGATATCCTCTCTTTTTATAGGGCCAAAATATTTACAAACTAGAGTAGTTAAAATGAAATGTAGTTGTACATTAAGCCATCTGTTTATGTAGCTCTGAAAGATTCTCTTTCTTATCCCTTTAAATTAGTAATATTTTCATCAAAATATTAAGTTTTGTGCATTCTCCTTTAATTTATAAAGGCACCCCAACTAGTTTGGAAAAAAAAAAAAAAAGACATGGCTGTGCAAACTATTTTCAATTACTGACCTTTAATTAGAATCAGCATTACAAAGGATTATTCCTATTTTGTATGTGGATCTACCAAGCGAGAGTCAAGAAACGTGAAATGTCACCATACAAAAGTCCTAAAATACTTTAGCTGCACTATTTTTTTTTCTTAACTGAAGTGGTTCACTTCAATATAAGCTGTAGCTACTTAATTTACTGGTTAACAAAGTAGCCACAGAACTGAATTCAAAAATGTTGAGAGCTGCTTGCTGAAGTTATTACCCCTAAGTATCTTAAACAAATATGTTTAAGAGTTGGCCACATGTTTTTTTCTTCTTAAACAGAAAACGAAAATAAAGTACACTCTGGGTTTCTCAAATCATGAAAGCAGCTTCCTGCTGCACACAAATTCATCTAGGTGGAGCATAGCTCCACCCCTTGTCCACCAGGAGCAGCATGCACCACATAGAAAAGAAAGTAATGACACCGACAACTACCTTAGCGGCTATGTGTGCCACAAGTATTTCTAAACACTTCCTTAAAAATATCAGCTGTCTGTACCAACGTGCTGTGAAAAGAGTTCTTCTCTGTATTAAAAAGGTTAATTGTTTCTATCTTGCCTAATATATCATTCTTAGGACCATTAATCAACAGCTTTCTAAGCTTTAAGTTAAAACATAATACTGAACATAAGGTTTGAGGTCCACAGGAGAACTTGCCAGCATTGCAGCCTACGACCCTAACAGGAAGTCCCAGTGTCCAATTCCAGTAAGTAAATAGAGCAAACAACCTGTGCGCTGCTGGGCCAGCTGGCCAAGCTCTTCCTTGACAGAGCCTCTGCACAACTGCCAAGAGCTACGGCTTAAATGTTTGTTTTGTTTTGTGTTGTTTTTAAGACAAACCAAATAAGTAAGTGTCATATTTGGATGCCAGAGTATAAGTTGACAGTACATATATCACACTGAGGGTCCTTTTCAGCATCTCTTTTTTAAAATCCATCCTCATTCATCCCCTCCTTCCCCTTCCTGAATCAGTTATATTCAGGGAAAACAAAAATTAAATAAAAAAAGAAAACTTAAGATCTAATTCTGGAAGGATTCTTTGCCTTTCACGACTACAAGAAGCAGGAAAACTTTGGCGGAGCGGGCAGGAATGTTAGAGCCGCCCGCAATGAGTTTGAGGATACTGAAATCCAGGCGCTGCCGGTGCTTAAACGGCCGCCGGGGGCG